TGCTGAGGCATTCTTAATTGCATAAACTGATGCCTTGGAAGGAGATATGGAGTCAGGAGAGCGATCAGGTTTTCTCTTCTTGTCGGGCCTTTTCTTGAAGATCCACTCCGTTTCTTTCGCAAGTTCATCTTCATCAGTTTCATATACAATTTGATTGTGCACATTCTCAAACTTTTGGATAACAGGTAATGAAGAACCTTTAAGCAACTCATTTTCTTTTTTTAAGAATTTCTATCTCATTTCTAAGTTGAAGACATAGCTGCTCCATATTGTTTATTTTTTCTATGTATTTAGCTATAGCAAAAAGTTATGTTAAAGAAATTATGTGTAAAAAGTTAGCTCAGGAAAATGACTTATATAATAATAGCATTAAAAGTTTTAAGAAATTGAATATAAGCAAAACAATTTTTTAAAAAAAGTCATCACTATCATGCTTTCTGGCTTGATCTAGTCTCTCTTTTTTAATTACTTGAATGAAGTTCTCACATTGAGATGAAAATCTTCTGCATTCATTTCTAAGAGGGGAATTTTATGCTTGAGTTGAAAGTAATATTTTTCTCTAAACCTAAACTGAATATTTAAAAATATGTTGCTTTTCAGCCATAATTCTTATTGTTGGTATTCTGCTCACTACTGAAAATAAAATAACATTGAAAATAGGGATCATAACATTATATTTAGCGAAACCAAATTATATTTAGCGCTAGAAATTCTCGTTTGAAAAATCAACATAAGCGCATATACCACGGCAGAATTACCCCTGCTCAGAATGCCCAACTTAGCATTAGTAATGCTGAAAAGAGCATTAGAAGCTCTTTAATCAGTCAGTAAACAGCGGGGGGCTCTGAAGAACCCCCCATCCAGCTATCAAAGAGTAAAAGTGCTTAAGCGCACTAACTCGAAAATACCAACTATATAAGAATTAGCTCAGTTAAGTTTGAGCACTGCAAGAGATAATAATTCCGTCGGACTACAATACGGTTAAGATATTGTATTAAGAAAGAGATAATATTGTGTGGGTTAAACATTGTAATTTCATCTAGTCAACCGAAATTCTGATTGTAAATAATAATTCATCCAGTTGATAAGCATAAATTGTAATTTTGAAAAAATAAAATAGTCTACAACATGACAGATTTATTTCGATTACTTTTAAGAATTGACATACATTTTTTACATTGTTTTTAAATAATTTTCAATTTTATGATTACGTTTAATATTTTAAAATAAAAAATTGTTCATTGTGTTCATTACTAATTATGTAGTTTGAATTTTATTTCACAACTTACTTGTATAATATGGTAAATATATTTTTCATTTCAATCAACCCAATAAAACACTTTTTTTTCTGTGCTAAATTATAAATATTAACTCGTTAAATAAGTACTCCTATTTTATTTCAAATTTGGATTATATTTTTTAGTAACCAGGACCACTTTAACCACAACATTCGGCATGTAGTTGACATGACCAAACTGTGCAACACAGTTTGGTTGCGTGGTTAAGCAACATATCTTACTTCTTAGCTGGCATAAAATAATTAAATGTCTTTTTCATCTAAATTAGTTTACACAACGACTGCAGCAGCAGCAGCAGTGAACAGCGAATCACAGTAGCAATGAACAGAGAGTCAACTCGTTGTCGACGTACCAGTAAAGTTTTCTAAATTTATCTACTATCACTCATACGCCCCGCCCGACCTGTTCCGGCTGGCAAGCGACTTACTTGCAATGTTGCTTAGCTAACTTTTTCAATGAAAAATAATTTTTTTTACGACTGCTGACATTAAAACCTTTTATACTTGCCATACTTGCTGTATTTGTCACAGCATGAAGTGTCCCTGCCGCTTGTTACCACTTGTCTCTGCTGTGAGATTAATATTAAGTAGCTTTCTACACTTTTACTTGTTTAACCTCGACAATTTGTAAGTGTGCATTAGCGTGCTTATGTGTGTGTGTGTATGCGTGTGTGCATATGGATATGCGTAAATTTAAATTTTTTGAATTTAATATGTTTAATGTAAAATAAAATAAGAAATAAAATCAATATCAAAATTATGAAAATTAAAACCGAAAGAAAAATAAACACGTAAAAAAATGAAACCGAAAAAAGTACAAAATTATTTATAAAAATTAATTTGCACCAACTTTGCCTGGAAGACTTAAAGTTTTCTGTTAACTTTTTGCCAGAGTGCTGTTAAATTGCAATTTTCATAGTAACTCAAGTGTCGGTTTAAGTTAAAATTAATAAAAATGAATTAAATAGGGAAAGATTGTGGAGCCAGCTGTACGCCGCGTCCTGCTCAATGATGGCGCTACACAACAATGCATCCACACAGCCCAATGGTGGTAAATTTACGCTGCAAAAGTGTTGTGCTGCTCAAATAGCAACAACAACAACTATCGAACCGTTGTTGCTATAACAACAACTAAAATTACAACATCACGAAAGACGCGTAGCAGCCTCAGTTGAAGTTTCTGTCTCAGTTGAAATTGAAAACTTCACCCCTGCGGGTGGTGAAGGCGGTGAGGAAAATTGTGACGACGAGTGCTCCATGAAAAACCGTCATTGAAAGAACACTTGAATGAGTTAATTGAAACGTAAAAATAATGCGAATCGCTTATGGAAGCAAATAAAATGCAGAATTTATTGTTTTTAAGCGCATAAAAATAAATATGCTTTAAACAGATTTCAGAAAATATTTTAATGATTCAAGTGCTTCCAAATTGCTCCAAACTTATTTACATTTGAATTATGTTGCGTGCCCGCCTCTCCGGCTGCCTGCATGCGTATGCACCAACAGCGATTGCAATTGCATTACGTAATGGAGAAGAGTAACTTGACGACTTGGAAAAATAATTTTTTACGAAATCCAAACGGTTTCCAAAAAAAAAAAAACTATAAATAAATTAAGTACAGCAATTTCAAGAAAATAAAACGAACGCCGAAAAAAAAATAATTAAAAGAAAATTTTCATTTCACATTTTCATTGTGCAAATAACAAAAGAATGGATATTCATTCCAAAAAAAAGGACCTTCAAGTACTGAAATATCAAGTAACGAATACAAACAAAAAAAATTAAATAAATATTGAAAAAATTGGCACAAAGAACCGAAAAGCATGAATGCCAAAAATCATTTCAGAAATCCCAATGAGTTGGTCAGTAACTCAAAATTGTAATTTTTCAAAAAGTGAAAAAAAATTTAAAGAACAAAATTAACATGAATGAAAGTTTTATTACAAAAATAAAAACCACGTGTCAGCTTAAAAACGCCACAAACAGCTGCCATCATTTTACTCACAATGTATAAATAACTTAAAAATTTTTCAGAAATGTGGCAATCAATGATTTTTGTATTTAATGGCAGTAAGGGAGAACAGAACAGATCAGAACGTAAATAGAAAATTCAATTTAAAATATGTTTTTATACAACAACACAAACGATTAAGCACATTTTATATTTACAACCATTATAAACATTTATAAAGAAGTATGCTCATAAAAGCATAACATCAACGCAACATAAACTTGCACCAGCATATGCGTCCATCTCAACACTAGCAACATGCTGCGTCAATAAATTTCTAAGTAGTCTATTAAATTGCAAGCTGCAGTAGAAATGTTGCCATAAAAAGTATACGAAACGATTGAATATGTTGCTATTAAGATACAAAGCATACAAAATGTTGCCATAAAAAAACCATTTTTTTTTCAAATATTTGTATCTGATGTAATCTTTCTGTATTACAATTGCAGTAAAAATTTAATAAGCAAAGTATAAGATTGAATCAGTTTTTAAATACTTAAAGACGAGCCCAATAAAAAAGTGTTTTATTTTTATTAAAACCTTTAAATACAAAAAATTGCACACGAAGTAACAAGTGTTGAATCTTTGTTGCGAAACTGAAATTAATATTGAATAGCGATCAAAAATCTTTGCAAAAAAATATGGCAAATCCCCAGCAAGATCGACAGAAAAATATTATAAAAATTAAGTCACTAACAGCTGGTAACTAGAAGTAGATGGAGGCAACTCCTTGTAGTAGTTGAGGCTAAAGGTAGTCATATTATGATAACACTACCTTTTTTGTTTTTTTTTTTGTGATATATAAAGCAATCGAATGCCTACGAAGGCGTCGGTGACACCGAGGAGTCCTCCGATCTTGTATTTCATCTGGAGACCGTCCAGTGTAAGAATTTCAACAGGCGTTTGAACTTCTAATACAAAAAAGCAAAAAATTAAAAACAGTTTTCAATCATACAGTTCTCTCCAAGAAGTGAAAAGTTAGTATAAGCTGACAGTGATATATAGACATCCCTTCTATTTCTACTTGTTGGTGGTATCATATGCTGAAAAACCGGGTAAGCTAGAATTATAAGATATGCAATAAAGAACACAATTTCAATTTGACCAACTTGATGGTCAAATACTTCAAATCTTAAAAACTTGATAATAAAATATATTCTTCAGGTGGTATCGCAGTAATGAATCCATTATTTAATGAGTAGGTCACATCTTAGAAAATTTTACAAAAGATTAGAGTATAAATCCACGAAGTACTCAACAAAGTTGAAAGAACAAACCATAAGGGATAAATTAACAGCTGCTTTAATACTTAACAATAAAAAAGTAAGAAAAACTTAGTTAAAGATTTATTCAAATTTCTGTGACTTTGTTGTAAGATCACGAAGAATGCCAACAGAGAATTTAGAAGTGTTAGATTCTGATCATATATACACCACAGAATATGGTGGATGCAATTCAGGATTTTTTAATGAAAGACCGACGAAAAATTATTGATGCTCTACTGATGCTGAAAATTTGGATCTAAAAAAGTCCTCACTAAACTTGATAGCGCATTTTCTCACAACGGATCAGAAACGTTAAATTTTATCAACTCCACAGTGTTTGCAAAAGAAATATTCAAATGGTTTAATTTTAATAATAATTAATAAAAATTTAATTAAATAAAATTGTATATGTTAATTACACCATTAAACAATTATTCATTAGCATAATAAGTAAAAAATATTTATATAAAAAAAATAATAAGTATTTTAGTGGCTAAAACTAGAAGTAATGCTCTCCAGTATCTGAGACAAAAGCTACATTATCCGTACCTTTAAGCTGTTGTTCTTGCTTATATATGGTTTTAACGGTGTTTTCAGAATTCTCGTGATTAGCATTAGTATCAACAGAATGTATTCTGTCATTTTCCTCATTATTTATAACATAAACTTCAATGGTGTTCATATCGCTACGGGTGTTAACATTTTCACTTTCCCGAGTAGCACCTTCTGTAGAATTTTCTTTTAATAAATTCAATTGACATTGGAAATAGTACATCCAACTGAAAAACAAAAAAATTTACAATACAAAATCGATCACTCATATTTCTCAAACTAACTTACAAAAATATCAATACAGCAAATACTGTCAGGCCGCTACCAAGTAAATAAAAAGCTCCAGGTAAAATTGTAATCGTTGCTGCATAGAGTGTAGTATACATCGGACCAAAAACCATTGGCATCAATGCTTCTGCCACACCAAAAAGAGAGTTCACTTTACCCAGCTCATCTTTGTTGACTAATTTTGTAGCAATGGAACGCATGGCTATAAAGGAAGTGCCATTGAACATTTCAACAAAGCCTCCCATGTACATGTGCCAAGGCTGTGTTGCGAAGGCGTACACAAAACCACCGAAAATTTTCGATAGACAAGAGAGCACTCCGATCAAAGCATCATCGATGTTAAATTTATGCGAAAGTACGCCCACACAAAAGACTACACCTGCATATATAAAATTAAATTTATACAATTTATTTGTATAAACACTAGTGTCATAGTAATTAAAGTACTGTGAACCAACCCGCTAAGCCTAATACCATAGCAACAGTGGAATATATGCTAAAATCCACCTCATTCCAATTAAAACGAAACCTCGAGAATAGATACGTCACAGTCAACTCACCTTAAATTGCAGTAAATATTTTAAGATCCGCTTTGATGACAAGAAACGTCAAGCTTACCGTGCAAAGGCCCAATAACAATCATAACGACGATCATTATAAGAATGACACGTTTTCGACGATAATTTTCACCTTTCTGAAAAGCCACTTTGAATGTCTGTACAATATGCTTCTTGTTGAAAAAATCACACAAAATACTTTTGTGCTCACATTGATCTAAATTTTTGTTCAATCTTGGTTCCGTCAAATAGAAAAAACCATAAATGAATGAAATCACGTACATGGTTGCTGATATTGAGAAAATTCCATAAAAACCGATTTTTCTAGAAAAAAACATCAGTTTAACAGCAGTTCAATTATTAACTTTACAAACTTACGTCAATAGAACACCACTAAAAGCCATACCGATAGGTACTCCCATCGAGAAGCAAACATTTAAAATTCCCACCCTCAATGTGCGCTCCTCTTCAGTGGTAATGTCAGCTATATAACTAAAAACACCCATCAGCATTGTAAACCAACCACCACTAAGTGATGGAGCTATAGCTTCCGTCATGGCCACTACTTCCATGGGTGTGCGCTCAAAGTACACACAAAACATCAGACCTACTATACCAATGAATTCACCTACAATCGGTATAAGTATGCAAGGCTTGCGTCGATGGTGACGATCGCTCCATGAACCCCAGAATAAGATAAGTAAGCAAGGAAATAACGATTGTATAACTGTCTTCCAAGCTGCCATATGTGCTACCATTTGTTGAACCGTTTCTTCCTCACTACATATAGTTGAAAAGAATATAGTACTTAAGTAATCTCTTTAATCTAAAAGTTGTTCAAATTGACTTACAGAGTGTAATTAGCAGTCTCACGACGTGTCAGTGCATCACATACCGTGTCACCGTAATCCATATTAACACGGCATGCTTTCTCCAAGTTAAGATTTTGCGTAGCCAAACTAGACAGTACACTAGGCATTATATAGCATGCTAGTATTGGTTCCACTGTGATATTTCGAAAAATAAGTTTAATTTTGTCAGTCAAGCTCTGGTCCACGTTTTCTGCAAGCTGCTGAGCTTGTGGTTCTTCCAACGTATTGAGTGCAATTTCAGCCAACATTTTGAGAACACTAGATTTATTATATAATTAATATTATTTATTCAAAAATATTTGTGTTTTTTGTGTTATTGTGTTTTTTAAATATATTTGAATCATACAAAAACGAAAAGTTCAGGTTCTATGATGATTGAAGCTTTTAATTTGCTTGATCTAGTTTACTGTTCTTAGACTCTGCTGCAATAAAGTTCTGTCTCTACATAACTTGTATTTAACAAGCTCGTTTAAAAAACTCATTGCGATTGCTTTAGAACAAACAACCGACTATATGCGAAGTAAATAAACATATGATTTATTTCTAATGAATTATGCTATAATTATTGTATTCATAAAATCGAAATATATTACTTTGAATCAATGTACATCTCTCTCACATATACAGATTTCAAAAGAACAAAGAACAAATGTTTAGTGCAAAAGTGTTTAATCTTGATGATTTTAATGGAACATTTAAACTAATTGCTTTCCACTGAAATGTCGAAAATTTTTCAGAGTAAAGAAATTATTTATTTTCTTCTATAATATGCCGATACAGTCAGACAGTGAGCATTTAAAAAAAATAATGGACAATAAATAGATTAGTCAGACTACTGGCTAAATAATTTCTTTAACTAACCCGCAGTTTGTGCGCGTCAATTGTGCTATTAATGCATTTCGAAGAATCAATGAAACGCACCGTTTTACTTGCAATTAGCGCATCTTTTTACGTTGCCATTTATTTACGTTCATTTTTAAAGTATAAGTGCAAAAATTCCAATTTTTTATGCACCATCCTACTAACTGACCAAAAACTTCCAAAATAAAACCAAAAACTTTTTATAAAAGCATAAAAATACAATAAATAGTTTCAAAAACAAAACGAATAATTGGGTTCAATTTAATAAAGAAGATAATTACGATATTTTCCGAATATTCAATTTTTTTAGCTATATTTATTTAGCTATTTGTATTTAATATGTATTTCTAATTACTGGTAGTTGACAAGGAGTACTGGAAGTATGATTGTGATATCTGATTACCTTTCAGAATTACAAATTAAATAGATCTGTTCAATCACGTCAGTTACAAACTATTGTACTAAAGAGATATGCTGTGGTTTAAACACTAATACTTGAGCTCAATAATACATCTACTGTTAAGTTACTTAAACCGCGTTTGTTCACCATAAACTAATTAAGGTTATATACATATAGCCTTATGTATTAATCCAGTTGATTTTACAAATGATAGAGAGTCAAGGTTACTATAACCAGAAGTGTGAGCTATGATTCAATAGAGTTAGTAACAGCAAGGTTAGCAATTTCAACAACTTTACTCCACCCTCTAGTAGCATCTCTCGTGATCGGCACTGAAAAAACTTAATAATTAATAAATTTATCATACAATGGATATCGGTAAATGCTTCCGCCGAAGATCTTTTATTTTACTGAATAGTTTAGACATTCGAACAAACAAAAGTTTTAATTAATGGTGGTTCAAAATCGACTTTTTAAAGTTTATAATTTTTTTTTGCGAAAATCTGATTTATTCCCATATTTTGCTCAAAAAAATATTTACTCAATTTTGCATGTCTATATCACATATAATTTTATGTAAAAAAAAACTTGCATCGATCGAGAATCGAACCCGGCCCGCCCGCATGTCAGACGAGCATTCTACCCCTGAACTATCAACAATTCCGGAAATTAGGAAACTAAAGGCAAATTTAAGCTCAAATGTGTAGAAATTACATATAACAGTTCTATATGATTTACTGAACACATTTGCAAACACTGCCAAAACATATGACTAAAAAATTTTTATTTTCTGAATTTTATTACAAGGAAATAAATTATTCCAATTCAAATCTTTCCAGAACATGAGAGAAGATTTCTCATTTCCTATACTTATTGTACTGATAGTTTTTAATGAATATACAGTCGGAGTCACAAGTCTACAAGCAGGCAGTACAAAAACCTTTGTTTGAAAATTTTTCCCAAAAAATTCAATTTCCCAAAAAATATTCTTTATTGTTTTTTTTACAACATTCAATGCACTTTGTTTTCGCGAAGTTTCTTTGCATTTGTTCAAAAATCAGCCGAGATAACGATGCTTTTATTGTCTAGGGCAGCAAAACGAGCGATCAAAAGTCTACAAGCACTTGGTATTTCTGCAGTTCTAAGGTGAGTTAAATGTTAATTGGTGAAAATGTGGATTGTGTCTTATTGTATTTGTGGTAATTAATCATAAAACTGCAAAAATTGTATTACATTTAAAATACCTACTATTAACTGGCAATGGTGTCTAACCGGAAAGAAATAAGCGTTAACACTTAAATTCTGTCATAACTTGGTCATGTTAGCGCTTTCACATTTTTCCTAGACTCAATTAAGTCACGAAGTAACAGTCACTTAACTCACTTAAGTAAAAACATTTAAATTCGGCCTTAGAAACTATATACTCAAAGAAATAGTTGAAATATTTTCTTGTTAAATTATTATATATAACCCAATCTGTGTCATGTATTTATCACCGGCTAATTGAAACAATTCAAAAGTAAAAAATAATACCCACCTAACTTCAAGGTATTTGTTACTTATTATATACCTAATTTTAAGTTATCAATAAAATAATTTTACCTTTCTATCTTGAAGGAAATTTGTATTTTTTACACATAAAAAGATAATATAGTTTTTGATTTTTGCTAGGTTTTTAATTTATTATTTACTATTTTATAATATATATATTCAGAAGAATTTATTTTTTTACTTCACCACATCAGCACAAGACAAAAGCTATTTTTAAACTAATTGAAATTGGCTCCATCTGCTAATCCAAAAGGCGATCCATAGTTATGAAAGTAATGCACTTCGTACTGTCTACATTTAATGACCAATGAGCCGTCTTCATCGATTGAGATATCTTCATATCATCAGATGGGCCTGTTTTGAATATCGCGTTGAAAACAAAAACAGATTTACAGCTGTTGCTTTATATATAATAACCAGTAAACTGTACCATTATAATTAATTCCGGTCTGTTTTTAAAGAGAACTCTCTACGAATGCTATTCAAATACTTCATTATGTGAATTTCATTCCTAACCCAGAAATACAGTAAATACGTACGTGACAAGCACTGGCTGAGCTCAGCAATTCAGATTCTTACTGTTGCCCTAACACAAACATGAAATTCTTTTGCAACTGATAAGAGCTAGAGCAGATGTGCAAATCGTTCAGCATTTGTAATTATCAATATTATTAATTCAAGTAAAATAATATATAATAATAATTACTATTAAAATTATTATTAAAATGGTTATTAATTTTTCTTATATAACTGTGAACAATTTACTCACGCCTAAAAATAATTATAACTTTCTCCCGTTTTAGTTTAATCTGACATATAATATTTAATAAATTTATTTATATGTATATATAAAAGTTTAGTTGTGTTTTTTTTTCGTATCTAACGGACATCTTAGCCGATGAATCGACCTGCATGATATATATGCTACACAATCTCTATGTAGAACTAATGCCACTTGTAACTGAAGCCACAATTAAAAATGGAGCATCAAAAGGAGAAGTTGTTCGGACACCATACATTTAATAAAAGGCGTGGTATTTGAGGAAAAAGGCTGGATATAGCTTTTTTAAGTCATCAACCTTAGATCTCCAGCGCGGCTTTTGGGACATCTAAAACTTGTAATTAAGGTTTTGTAGCTAGATAATCACAAAAAGTGAAAGGAGATCAAACCATTGATTCCATTTTCGTTGTTATTTTAGGGAGACTATTTTAGTGAAATGAATTCATATATTAAAATAATAGAAAAGCAAAAAAAGCAATAACGTTATAAGTTCACATGCCAATAATATAAATTATATTAAGTAAAATAATAATATTAATATATAAATAATATACATTATTATATAATACATATTATTATTATAATATTATTTTTAAAACACAATGAAATTTATTAAAGAAATTGAATGAAAAGAAGAAGACATATGCTATTGCATATGCTACCACCCATATAACTAAAAAGTGAGCAATGTAAAAATAATGGTTGAACATCTATGCAAACATAAAAAAACTATTTTGATTCAAACCTGTATGGCCAAGTAGGCTTACATTCGAATAAGAACTGACAAATTCAATATAACTTTATTCAAAATTTATAAAAAATTTGAATCGAAAGATAGTTTCAAATTTTACTCAGACAAAAATCAAACGATCTGAAAAAGAAATCTAGAAGAATGGCAAAGTTAGCCAAGAAAAAGCTGAAGGCTACTAACAAGAAGCCGAAACCTACTAACAAGAAACGGAAACCTCCTAACATGAAGCGGTATAAGGTAAATCACAAAAAAATCGCAATGAATCATAGCGTAACCCAGGTACGTAGCGCCATAATAACCCGCGCAGTAGCTCGAGCGCTAAAGGCAAATCGGGCATCTGAAACTTTTGTGACAAATACCCCCAAAAAACCCAGGCGATGTAATAACAACAAGGAAAAAGTGCAAAAGCCTCAACAACAAGAGAAGGCAAAAAATTTTACCAAGCCCGCAAATGTTGGGAGACCGTCCGTACAAACCCCAAGTTGGGGACAAATGAAACAATTATTCAAAGAAACTTTTAATGCAACGCAAGCTGTTAAGAATAAGGCAATAAAGAAAGAACCTTTAAAAAAGGCAAAAAAACCAGCTTATGGTAGGAATGGTAAAACTAACCAGCGTATACCAGATCCATTCACGATAATGGAAAGTTCCTTTGTTTGTAACGAGGATAACAAATATAAAAGGAACCAACCCAAGACGCAGGGTAAAAGGAAGGGTGTCATGAAGAAAAAGCCAGTTCCTGTTGTCAAAAAACGTAAGAAGCCAATAAAGGGTAAAGAAAAACAAAAAATAAAAGCAAAAAAACAAATAGCGAAAAAACCGTTTAAAGCAGCAGGAACGGGCAACTACGGAAAGAAACATATGCCAAAAAATGCACTGAAAAAAGTGGGTACCGCTACGAAGGCTTTACGGCAGAAGAAAGGAGTAAATACGAAAAAAGGAGTGAAAAAAAGGCCAGTTCCTGCTCTCAAAAAGAATAACAAATCAATAAAGGTTGAAAGAGGACAAAAAAAGAAAACAAAAAAACAGAATATGAAAAAATCGATTACGGCAACAAGAAAGAAAAACCATGCCAAGAAAAAGCTTTCCAAAAATGCACGGAAAAAAGTCGGTAACGCTACGAAGGCTTTACGGCAGAAGAGAGTAGTAAATGCGAAAAAAGGGGTGAAAAAAAGGCCAGTTCCTGCTCTCAAAAAAAATAACAAATCAATAAAGGGTAAAAGTGGACAAAAAAAGAAAGCAAAAAAACAGAATATGAAAAAATCGATTACGGCAGCAAGAAAGGAAAACCATGCCAAGAAAAAACTTCCAAAAAATGCACGGAAAAAAGTCTGTAACGCTACGAAGGCTTTGCGGCAGAACAAGGAAGAAAAGAAGAAAAAAGAGAAAAATAAGGTAAAGCCAGTTCCTGCTCTTATGATGACTTGTGTACGAGTGACATTACCCAAGAAAAGAAAAGCAATAGCTTATGATAACATAAGCCCCGTTCCTCGCAAGAGGAAACGGAACTAGATAAATAATACAAAACAAAAATTTTTATATTTTATATTTTTTTTTTATTTCCGAATATTTTTATTTTAATATTTTATTTAATTTGATATATATACTGCATATTTTTTATTTATATTTTTGTATATTTATTTTATTTTTTATATTTTTTTTTATATTTTTTATATATATTGTGTATTTTTATATATATTGCATCTTTTTTATACATATTGCATTTTTTTTATATATATCATATTTTTTATATGTACTGTATATTTTGTAAATTGTTTATATTGCACATTTTTTATATATTTTGTATATTTTTTGTATATATTGTATTTCTGTCAAAATTCCAAATTATAATAAAAACATTTTCGGCCCAAACACTGTGAATTTTGTTTTATAAAATAGTTTTGTTTTAGTTCATAAATATTGAAACTATTTTATTTTTTGCAACTACTAGAGATATTTTCATTAGATACATATTAATAGCATGTCTCCATTACATAATAACCATGACATCAATAAACCAGAAAGGAGTATATTCTCTTGAGCATCATGTGTCATCATTATAAATTTGAAAGCTCAAGAAATTTCATACATTTAATAACAAAAATACATTTTGTATGCTTACAGAAAATTTCGTGAGTTATTAATATTAAGAAAATAGCAAAAGTATAATTACTCCATTTAAGTTTTAGGCACAATTAACTACTGATACTATCTTAGCGTTTTTCTTTACGCTTCCTTTTTAAAATAGTGATAATGTGGTTCATATCCCTTCTCATTTCATTGAGAACGATATTAATTTTTAACGTAGATATGACCAAAGATTTTCATTAATATCTTCTTCCAAAAACGCCAAAGCATAATTTATCATTGTTCTTCTTCGCTCAGGGCTTCGCGCTATATATTATAACAGGTAATATGGCCGAGGTGTAGAGTTATTTTGATCCGTTATGGAATGATTTGATTTCGAAAGTAGTATTCATCCCGGTATAAATGATTCTTTCAAGTTGAACAAAGTTTTTTACAACTTAAAAAATGTGGTGAACAGTGACGAGATATGTTTAAAAGTAAAAGAGGAAAAACACCATTTACATTGCATTTTAATTTTGCTACGAGAATTTAACGCCCGATGATACCAATAATGCATCCAATGACATCACGGTACTTGTCTTGTCATTTTATGTCACAATTTCTATAAATTTCTTGGTTTTTGTATTAAACACTTTGTTGCACATTAGTGTTTTTCAATCAAGACCAAATAACATTTTTAGATAAATAATTATCCTAAAGCCAATACAATAAAATAATATGATTATCTACAAAAATCAATTGTGCGCAATTGGGAAAAAAATTCAATTTTTAATATAAAAGTTTCTTTGGTTTAATTGCGTAGACTCATCTACAAGGAAGTAAATACTCTTAATTTGATTTCTGTACTTCGGCACAGTAAAGATTAAAAACTTTTCCTTATTTAAGCCAATTCAAGCTGCTAATGTACCATAATATGCCACAGGATTATTTTTCTATTTCACAATCCAAGTTTATATTGCTTATAAATGAAATCAATGAAATTAAGCTTACAACACTGTGCCAATCTCACCGACTGCTCGCTGATAGCTATTTGCCGTTTGCCGTTTGCTATTTGTCGCAAGCCAAACGCTATGGGATCGGCTGCATCAGAGGCACAGCCACTGAAGCTCGCTTCAATTTATATTCCAGTTGCACCTCTACGTGAGGATGAGAGCTTGCTACGAGTTATTCAATTCAATTTTACATATTTCACACACCCACATAATAAACACCTCGTCGGTAATAATTTTATTAAGAAGTAATTTACTTATATACAAAAATAAAATATATATATGTTTGGCTTTTGGGAATGTGGGTGTTTAACGTGAAATGGATATAAACTGACAGGAGAGGCAAACTACAAGCAAACTCCGTCGCATTATAACTGCCATTACACTTACCGTAAGAGTAACGGTAATGGCTCCGGTAATGGTTATTCCGAGTGGTGCTATGCTCGCTGAAACGAGGCTGATGTGCGTTCGCATATGAAAT